ACTCAGGAAAGAGCTGATGTCGCGGCTTCAGTCTGAAGGCTGTCTTTTTTTTTTTTTTAAAGCCTTCGACTGACTGGATCCACATTTTTACTCAGTGGGTCTGTGAATTTAAATGTTAATCTCATCTGAAAATATACCTGAATGGTGACATCTAGACTGGTGTTTGACCAAATATCTGGATGCCAGGGCCTAGATAAGCTGACATTAAAATTAACTGTAACAATCAGTTGGGTGGTAAGCAAGGGAAATGGCCAGAGTCAAGGTATATGTAGAACTTTGTTAGGAAGCAGGTAAGTATATGTTTCCTCAGATTGCCACTCACACTGTGTTATTTTGTTTATTTTTGCCTCTCAGGAGTTTTGCTTTCCTGATAAGCCTTACATTTCGCCAGTCAGTAATTTCAGTTCAGCTCAGTTCCTCAATCGTGTCTGACTCTTTGCGACCCCATGGACTGCAGCACGTAAGGCCTCCCTGTCCATCACCATTTCCTGGAGTTTACTCAAACTCATGTCCATTGAGTCGGTGATACCATCCAACCATCTCATCCTCTGTCGTCCCCTTCTCCTCCCACCTTCAATCTTTCCCAGCATCAGGGTCTTTTCTGGTGAGTCAGTTCTTCGCATCTGGTGGCCAGAGTATTGGAGTTTCAGATTCAGCATCAGTCCTTCCAATGAATATTCAGGACTGATTTCCTTTAGGATGGACTGGTTGGATCTCCTTGCAGTCCAAGGGACTCTTAAGAGTCTTCTCCAACACCACAGTTCAAAAGCATCAATTCTTCGGCGCTCCGCTTTCTTTATAGTCGAACTCTCACATCCATACATGACCACTGGAAAAATCATAGCCTTGACTAGACGGATCTTTGTTGACAAAGTAATATCTCTGCTTTTTAATATGCTGTCTAGGTTGGTCATAACTTTTCTTCCAAGGAGTAAGCGTCTTTTAGTTTCATGGCTGCAGTCACTATCTGCAGTGATTTTGGAGCCACCCAAAATAAAGTCTGCCACTGTTTCCACTGTTTCCCCATCTATTTGCCATGAAGTGATGGGACCAGATGCCATGATCTTAGTTTTCTGAATGTTGAGCTTTAAGCCAACTTTTTCACTCTGCTCTTTTACTTTCATCAAGAAGCTCTTTGGTTCTTCTCTGCTTTCTGCCATAAGGGTGGTGTCATCTGCATGTCTGAAGTTACTGATATTTCTCCTGGCAACCTTCATTCCAGCTTGTGCTTCCTCCAGCCCAGCGTTTCTCATGATGTACTCTGCATGTAAGTTAAATAAGCAGGATGACAATATACAGCCTTGACATACTCCTTTCTCTATTTGGAACCAGTCTGTTGTTCCATGTCCAGTTCTAACTTGCTTCCTGACCTGCATATAGATTTCTCAAGAGGCAGGTCAAGTGGTCTGGTATTCCCATCTCTTTAAGAATTTTCCGGCACCCGTGCGAACATGGCGCTGCAAGCGGTGCGGAGCGTGCGGGCCGCAGTCGGCAGCCTGCGCGCCATCTCGGCACCCAGCGCGCCCTGCTCGCCGCGGCCCTGGGGACTGCGGGCGGGTGCCGTACGGGCACTGCGCACCGGCCCTGCTCTGCTGTCGGTGCGGAAATTCACAGAAAAACACGAATGGGTAACAACAGAAAACGGTGTTGGAACAGTGGGAATCAGCAATTTTGCACAGGAAGCTTTGGGAGATGTTGTTTACTGTAGTCTGCCTGAAGTTGGGACGAAGTTGAATAAACAAGAGGAGTTTGGTGCTTTGGAAAGTGTGAAAGCTGCTAGTGAACTCTATTCCCCTCTATCAGGAGAAGTAACAGAAATTAATAAAGCTCTAGCAGAAAATCCAGGACTTGTCAACAAGTCTTGTTATGAAGATGGTTGGCTGATCAAGATGACATTCAGTTAACCCTTCAGAACTAGATGAACTAATGAGTGAAGAAGCATATGAAAAATACATAAAATCTATTGAGGAATGAAAATGGAACCCCTAAATAAACTACTTTGAAACAAACTTAATCTAGCATAGTTGTCTTAAATTAGTGGTGGATAGATATTTAAAAAGCAACTTTTAGCAAAAGAAACTACTTGTAACAATGTTTCCTGAAGAAAATACCCCTTAACTTTCTAATGCCTTCAAATAAATACTGTATCTTTTCCACAGCATCCTGTGATTTTTAGGCTACGGTCCAGTTATACTATTCAGAATTCCTGAAATTATCTCTGATAAAACTAATTACAAAAATTATGTAATTCAAGGATAACATGGTTATCTTATACCTTTTATGACATTGTAACTTGCTTACAGCTATCCTTGGATTTGGGTCAAAATGATCTTCCCACTAGAAATAACTGGCAGTGGAGAAAAGTTTGTTAGTTGTATAGTGTCCAGTGAAGAATATTACTGTCTTAACTTTGCAATATACTGTGTTTGCTGGTGCTATTTCTATACAGTGAAGCAACAGCCTTGCAGGAGAATAAACAATTTAATAATAAAATATTCAACTTCTTAAAAAAAAAAAAAGAATTTTCCACAGTTTGTGATGATCCACACAGTCAAAGGCTTTGTCATAGTCAATAAAGCAGAAGTAGATGTTTTTCTGGATCTCTCTTGCTTTTTCAGTAATCCAACGGATGTTGGCAGTTTGATGTCTGGTTCCTCTGCCTTTTCTAAATCCAGCTTGACCATCTGTAAGTTCAGGGTTCATGTACTGTTGACGCATGGCTTGGAGAATTTTGAGCATTATCTTACTAGCGTGTGAGACAAGTGCAATTGTGTGGTAGTTTGAGCATTCTTTGGCATTACCTTTCTTTGGGATTGGAATGAAAACTGATCTTTTCCAGTCCTATGGCCGCTGCTGAGTTTTCCAAATTTGCTGGCATATTGAGTGCAGCACTTTCACAGCATCATCTTTCAGGATTTGAAATAGCTCAACTGGAATTCCATCACCTCCACTAGCTTTGTTTGTAGTGATGCTTCCTAAGGTCTGTTTGACTTCTCATTCCAGGATGTCTGGCTCTAAGTGAGTGATTATACCATCATGATTATCTGGGTCGTGAAGATCTTTTCTGTATTGTTCTTCTGTGTATTCTTGCCACCTGTTAATATCTTCTGCTTTTGTTAGGTCCATACCATTTCTGTCCTTTAGAGATTATCTTTATATGAAATGTTCCCTTGGTATCTCTGATTTCCTTGAAGAGATCTCTAGTCTTTCCTATTCTATTGTTTTGTTCTGTTTCTTTGCACTGATGACTGAGGAAGGCTTTCTTATCTCTCCTTGCTATTCTTTGGAACTCTGCATTCAAATGGGAATATCTTTCCTTTTCTCCTTTGCTTTTCACTCTTCGTCTTTTCACAGCTATTTGTAAGGCCTCCTCAGATGCCAGCGCTGCACAGCTGCCGCTCCGCCAGCACTACAGTCAGTAATTTGGTGTCTGTTTTTTTCCCATGTCATCTGTTGGGTACCTCCTTGTGTCACTTAATGAGGGGACTGCATCGGTCCATTTGCTGGAGATTTTGGTAGTAAGCATTTGTCAGGAGTACTTGATATATGTAATAACTCGTTCCCCTTTTTGTTGGGTTCTTCTTTTCTTATTGGTCCTATTTCATTTTATCAATCTGGCATTGCTTTTCCATGCATACCTATGTGGAATTGTAGAATCTTGTCTGCAAAGTGTATGCATGAATGTTTTCACAAGAAACCTCAGCACCAGCAGAGAGGCTGCTGTGCTAGGAGAGAAGGACAGAGTGAGTTCTGGGGCCCAGTGGGTGATGGTGCTTCTAGCCAAGGCAGTGGGCGTTAGATCTTTGCAGGTATGTAGGGGAGGCTGCTTAGAATGTTGGGGCCAAGAATGTGGGGAGAGATGGAGAGTTTGCCTTAGAGACGATTCTGTCTCCAGGGGCACCAACTGTGTCTGGAGGCAGTTTCTGTGGTCACAGCAGGTGTGGGGGCTGCTGCTAAACATCCTACAATGTATACAATGGCTCCAGAATGTTGGCCAGGGGACCCAGGTCCTGACCCTTGGCACAGAGTAGTAGCCAGTTGAGAATCCCCAGCGGTCTAGATGGCACAGTTCATGCCAGGTCTGCACTTGCCTTTCTCCATGCATGTTTGAATCCCCCAGACAACTTGGAGGCAGGGACTTTTTTAATAGAATTATTGAGATAATTCATATCCCTTACAAATCACCCATTTGGAAGTATGCAGTCAGTGGATTTTAGTACATTTACAGATTCATGCACCATCCCAAATCAATTTTAGAACATTTCATCACTCCAAGAAGAAACCCCGTTAACAGTCACTCTCCTTCCCATCTTCCCCTTGCCCCACCCCACCACCAGCAACCACTGATCTGCTTTTTCAGTCTTGTGGGTTTGCTTATTCTCAATATTTCATATAAGTGACGTCATACAGTACATGACCACTAATACCTCTTCTTGTGCTCATGTTTCCAAGGTCCATTTGTGTTACAGCATGTATAGTAACGTCCAGTCGTATAAATATACCGTATGTTGTTTATCTCTTCAGTTGGTGGACATTTGGGTTGTTTCTGCCTTTGCTGTTATGAACAGTGTCTAAACATTCACTCACAAGATTTTGCGTGGACATGTGTTTTCCTGTCTTTGGAGTGCATGCCGACTCCCACCACTGGGTCAGCTTTAACCCTGTGCTGAGCTGTTTGAGTATCTGCAGACTGTTTCCACAGCACTGCCCCAGTGTACATGCTGCCAGCAGCGTGTGACAGAGGAACTGCTTTTAACCCCCTTCTACACACGAAGAAAGCAAGGGTCAGAGCTGCTGAGACTGCGCTGTCCACCCGCACACCACACGGCTCACGGCCCCAGCACTGTCAGGTGGCTGCCTTGGACACCACGGCAAGCCTGGGCTTCCATGTCCTGGCTGTGTGGCTACCATGATGGGCCTGGCTGCACTGAGCCCTTTCTGCCTTAGGAGTAGTGAGACCAACTAGAGCAGGCTTCTCACATCCACCTTTCTCCTGGCAGATCAATCAGAACGTAGAGATTCAGCGCGGCCGCCTGCGGGATGACATCAAGGAGTACAAGTTCCGGGAGGCACGCCTGCTGCAGGACTACTCGGAGTTGGAGGAGGAAAACATCAGCCTGCAGAAGCAGGTGTCTGTGCTCAGGCAGAATCAGGTAAGTATCTGGGCCAGGCAGGTGGGGCAGGTGGGTTAGCTCTGGGCCACAGCCCGGGCCTCACCCTGACTTTGTTGTCTCCATGGTCAGAAGACATTCTCTCCTCCTTCCACACTCAGGCTGGGGGTTATATGCCACTCTGGTTCAAGGGGCAGCAGGGCCCCGCCCCTTCAAGAACAGAAAAACAAAGCCTCCGGCTATATTGTTGGCTGGCAATTAGACTGATCAAGGTGTTCCAGCCAGCAAAAAATGGGAGGAAGAATGGAGGTGATGAAGAGGTGATACCAAAAGACCCCAGAGGCTGGGTGTCGGGCTCTGTCTCATTTTAGGTGCCAACAGGAGACCAGCGTTGTCCGTATGCCCTGAGGAACCCTAGAGCTATCAGTGTACCCACTCCTCCTGCTGTATCATGTTTTATAGCCTCCTTTGAACCCCATATGGTCCTGGACCCTGGGGTGAAGCGTAGTGACCCTTGAGCAGTGTGGAGATGTCCAAGCTGTCATATGATGTTCTCAAGTAACATAAAAATGGGTGGGACGAGTAGGAACACTTTCACCTGGGACAGGACAGGGACAGGAGATCTCCTCTCCCCACCTGTGACAGAATGGGGACAGAAGGGTCGCCTCCACCTGTGAGAGGACAAGAGGGTCACTTCTACCTGGGACAGGACACCCAGGGGGTCCTGGGCACACAGGCCCCTCAAGGCCTGCCCTTGTCACCTAACTGTCCAAGAACCACAGCTTCACAGGTTGGGGACTAGGGGGACCTTTATCCCACAAATCCCCAAATTGGGGACCTGGGTATTTAAATCCTGCATAAGGAAGTGTGGGCCCGTGTGTTTATGCTGGTAGCAGACCTTCTGACCCTTGGAGCCGGAGCAAGTGGATCTCCTCCCGGGATCACAGGCACCGAAGCTGCGCCTCTGGCTGCTCGGCAGACCCTCTGTGACGCTGTGCTCATCTGTGGGTCAAGCATCCCGAGGAATGGGAAACCAGACCATGAGTGGCACATGGTGGAGTCTGGCCTCTCCCCTTGGGGTTCCCCTGCTCCAGCCCTCAGCCCACAGAGACCCTCATCCACCTGCCTCTTGAGTGATTTACTCCTCGTTTCTTGCACAAATGTTGGCAGAATAATACCCATTTTTCAAAAGTTGCTCATAGACCCTGAGTACCCACACCAAGCATTGGTTTCTGTCTGTTCCTTCCTTGTCCGCCTGCAAATACTGTTTTAGCACGTACAGCTTTGGACTTCGCCTCTCCCCCTTGTACCCGGGTGCCTCAGTCAGGGTGGTGTGTACAGTGGAGGCACATCCCACTCCAGTGGGAGCTTTAGTTCCTTCATTTTGAAATGTGATTAGAAGTGATGGTCACATTGCACATCTAGATACATATTTTATATATCTTAAAAGTATTTAATCAACTCTTAGCGATAATGAAATCGTTTTGTAGAATTTAAAATCAATATATACTTGGTAGCATTTTAAGTTACCTAACAGATTTGCAGTGTGGGTGTGTTCTGATTTCCAGGGCATCTTTGGTGCTGAGCAAGTCTCATGCTTTCGCACTGCTCACACCACGTGCACACGTGTCCCAGGCGCGAGCTCAGCATTTCCTGTGTGCACCTCATGCCTGCAACCCTCTGAGTATCCATGTTCTCCCAGCTGTTCAGTCACCACGATGGTGCTTCTTCCCCATCCCGCGGGGATAGAAGAGTGTCAACCTCTCTTTCACAGGTGGAGTTTGAGGGCCTCAAGCATGAGATCAAGCGTCTAGAGGAAGAGACCGAATATCTCAACAGCCAGCTGGAGGATGCCATTCGGCTCAAGGAGATCTCGGAGCGGCAGCTGGAGGAAGCTCTGGAGACTCTGAAGACAGAGCGGGAGCAGAAGAACAGCCTGCGCAAGGAGCTGTCGCACTACATGAGCATCAACGACTCTCTCTACACCAGCCACCTGCACGTCTCCTTGGACGGCCTCAAGCTTGGTGACGACGCCGAGGCCCTGGCCAATGGCTTCGAGCACGGTGGCCTGGGCAAGGTGCCGCTGGACAACAAGACCTCCACGCCCACCAAGGACGGCCTCACTCCACCCCCTCCTAGCCTCGTTTCTGACCTGCTCAGCGAGCTCAACATCTCTGAGATCCAGAAGCTTAAGCAGCAGCTAATGCAGGTGAGCGGGTAGATGGTGCTGGGACCCCACCCATCCGGTTTGTGCCACAGCCCTGGGCCTTGGGCCCGTGTGCGCCATCCCCACCTCCACTGCTGTTCCCAGTGGTGTTGGCCAGACCTGCTGTTCACCAGGACAGTGCTTGCCTGACACTTTGTAAATTTTTTAAATGCTATGCACTGTATTTTACTTACATCTCTTTTACGTAGGTAATTCTGTATTGTTACCTAATTGGAACTGCAGCATCATAGGTGGAAGATGCCCAGAGAAGTAGTTTTCTGGTTATGAGTTTGGGCACCACCAGAGGTTTAACATCTCTCTGAGGTCTCCACATGTGGTTTCCTATGCTGTGTCCTTTAGACACGTCAGGGTTTCCTGCCCCAACAGAACAGAACCCCAGGGTCTGCCTCTTGGTTTGCTGCATGTCTGTAAGGAGGGACTCACTTGGCCCCACAGCTGGGCAGGGGGAGGAGCCATCATAGCCCCACACTTGACACCGCGACCTGAATTTATCACAGCTCAGCAGGGTGATGAATGTTGTCCGGACTGTCCAGGGGTTCTCTGAGGGCAGAGACTCCTGTGGGCTGTTGACGGTCCCTTGCTCTGCCTTTGCAGGTGGAGCGGGAGAAGGTGGGCTTGCTGGCGACACTGCAGGACACACAGAAGCAGCTGGAGCAGGCACGAGGGGCCCTGTCAGAGCAGCATGAGGAGGTGAGCCGCCTCACGGAGAACCTGAGTGCTCTGCGGCGCCTGCAGGCCAGCAAGGAGCGGCGGACAGCCCTGGACAGTGAAAAGGAGCGAGACAGCCACGAGGATGGCGACTACTATGAGGTGGACATCAACGGGCCTGAGATCTTGGCTTGCAAGTACCGTGTGGCCCTGGCAGAGGCTGGTGACCTCCGGGAGCAGCTGAAGGCCCTGCGCAGTGCACACGAGGCCAGCGAAGCCCAGCATGCTGAGGAGAAGGGCCGGCATGAGGCTGAGAGCCAGGCGCTCACCGAGAAGGTCTCCCTGTTGGAGAAAGCCAGCTGCCAGGACCGTGAGCTCCTGGCCCGGCTGCAGATGGAGCTGAAGAAGGTGAGCGACGTTGCAGGAGAGACACAGGGCAGCTTGAGTGTGGCCCAGGATGAGCTGGTGACCTTTAGCGAGGAGCTGGCCAATCTCTACCACCACGTGTGCATGTGCAACAATGAGACACCCACCCGTGTGGTGCTGGACTACTACCGTGAGGGCCCGGCTGGCTCCGGCAGCCGCAGCCCTGAGACCCGAGAGCGCCGCTCGCCGGTCCTGCCCAAGGGCCCACCACCCGCAGAGGGTAGCGCCAGGGACAGCGGCCCCTCGCCCGGCTCCTCTCTGCCCTCACCCCTGAGCGACCCCCGCCGAGAGCCCATGAACATCTACAATCTGATTGCCATCATCCGTGACCAGATCAGGCACCTGCAGGCAGCCGTGGACCGCACCACGGAGCTGTCTCGGCAGCGCCTGGCCTCCCAGGAGCTGGGCCCGGCTGCCGACAAGGACCGGGAGGCACTCATGGAGGAGATCCTGAAGCTGAAGTCGCTGCTGAGCACCAAGCGGGAGCAGATCACCACGCTGCGCACGGTGCTCAAGGCCAACAAGCAGGTGTGCCGGCGCGCGGGTCCAGCGGGGGCGGGGAGGTGGGTGGGGGCTTTCTCAGCCTCCCTGGCTTCCCATCTGGTCCTGCCCCAGCTCGAAGAAAAGATGAGCGAAAACCTCACCTCGGTGCTGTGGGGAGGGGCTGGGTCTCAGGGGCCCAGGGCTGGCTGGGGCCTTGATCTGTAGTGCTGACCAGGGCAGCGGACCCCTCCTGACACCTCGTCTGCCTGTCTTTTACAACTCTGACCCCGCAGACGGCAGAGGTGGCCCTCGCCAACCTAAAGAGCAAGTACGAGAACGAGAAGGCCATGGTGACTGAGACCATGATGAAGCTGCGCAATGAGCTCAAGGCCCTCAAGGAGGACGCGGCCACCTTCTCCTCACTGCGTGCTATGTTTGCCACCAGGTAATGCTTACTGCTGTCACTGCTCAGCAGCCCAGGAACCTGGCCCTGTGGGAAATTCCCATTTCTGCCATTTGTGAAAACCCAGGGGCCCAAGTTTTGTCTCCACTTTGTGTAAAATGAAGAAGTTGGAAGCCAGAGGCTAAGAGTGCGGGTCCTTAGTGGCCAGGCTGGAGGCTTGAGCTTTAAAAGAGAAGCAGGCAAGTGGGCAAGCCGCTGATAAAAAATGAGAGCTTGCTTTCCAGAACTTGGTGTAAAGTTCGTCTATTTTAGAAGAAAGGTTCCCCTCCCAGCAGTGGTGAGGCCACAGTGCTCCCACTCTGACCCTACCAGTTGGGGTTTGTTGGGGGTGGTGGGCAGCATCTTTGTTGAGGCCAGTCCTGAGGCCAGGAACCCTGGGCAAGGGCCAAGCTGGAGGCTGCTCTGGGGCCTGGTTCTGGGTGTCTTCCTATTCAGAGAGGCCTGGTGCCATCTGCTGGCCACAGTCAGTCAAGCACCCGGGGCGTGCTCTCTGGATAGGCCTGGTGTGTCCTCAGGGCAGGGAGGCCGAGACTCCTGGTCACATAGGTGGGGGGCTGAGCTCAGGGTCTGCTCTGCTCTGTGTCAGGGCCCTGGGCATTCCCCGAGCTTCAGCGATGTGGGAGCGGAGGGACAAGCTCCCTGCTTGTGGGCAGAGTGTTTGGGAAAGAGTTCAGTGTTGACCTTTGCTTCCTCAACTTGGGTTGTTTAAAAGTGTGACTTCTCAGATGGAGCCCAGATGGCAAACCTCTGGGCAAAGGTTGAAGCTTGCTGATGGTCCTTGGCCTTGGTGGATGGGGGTGCAGGGTGGGTGTGCCCACCACCCCCTTATCCCAGTCATACTCCCTCCCTCAGGGACAGACTCAGAGTGGGCATTTCTCGCCCAGATCCTTACACAGGTAGAAGGCCCGTGTCACAGTTGGCAGATGCTTTTCCCAGTCCCTGGTTGGCTGTTTGTCCCAGACTTAACTAAGCACATGCTGTGTGCCTGGGCTGTTCCAGGAACAAACAGATTCCTGCCCTCGGGTTTATCCCCACATCCTGAGAGCCAAGTGACATCACACCTCTAACTTGCTCCTCTGGGCCAGCTGGAGGCCTTCAAGGGCATCCACTGCCTCCTTTAGTGAAAACTGGCTTTAGAGAGTCCCTCCCAGAGAAAGCCAAACCTCAGAAAGGCCCATCTGCTTTGTTTGTAGCTCAGTAAGCTGATAAATCCTGTTGCAGTCCTCACCTGGAACTCGGCTTCCCAGGTTGCACTAGTGGTAAAGAACCCGCCTGCTGATGCAGGAGACTTAAGAGATGCTAGTCTGATCCCTGGGTTGGGAAGATCCCCTGGAGGAGGGCATGGCAACCCACTCCAGTATTCTTACCCGGAGAATCCCTTGGACAGAGGAGCCTGGTGGGCTCCAGTCCCTGGGGTCACACAGAGTCGGACACGACTGAAACGACTTGGCATGCATGCTTGCGTGCACCTGGAGCTCTCCGCAGGGGCCCATGGTCACGTGCTCTGCTGGCTCTCCCAGGTCCTTCAGCCACGCTCTGCCTCTCGCCTCCCCACAGGTGTGACGAGTATATTACACAGTTGGATGAGATGCAGCGGCAGCTGGCAGCTGCCGAGGATGAGAAGAAGACACTCAACTCACTGCTGCGCATGGCCATCCAGCAGAAGCTGGCACTGACCCAGCGGCTGGAGCTGCTCGAGCTGGACCACGAGCAGACCCGGAGGGGCCGCGCCAAGGCCACCTCCAAGGCCAAGCCTGGCCCCCCGAGTGTAAGTCATACCTGCGCCTGTGCTAGTGACAGGGCTGAGGGTGCTGGGCTTGCTGCCCAGGTGCTCTGTGGCGAGAAGTATAACATTTACTGCGATTAGGGCCGCAGGGTCACACGCTGCAGCTAACCTGCCGCACGTCACCTGTCGCTTCACCTCAACTAACCTGGCAGCAGCGGGACTGTGGTGCTAGGCTGGTCTTAACTGTGACTAATGCACAGAGGGAAGAATTTAGCAGAGGCAGCCTGCCACTCCACCTGGACGCTGCGAGCTTTGTGTCTGTTTCTCATCCCTTGGGACCACCCTTCACAGCAGCTGCTCTCTTGGTTGGGTGGTCAAGGTGGGGTTGGAGCCACACATCCTTGCAAAAATGTGGCTTTCCAGGGCTCAGTTGCTGTTGGCTCCCACTGGGAGGGGCAGAACTTGCATTGAAACTTGCATGTTCCCTGCATGTGTCTAATGCAGTTATACTGCCCCAGCACCCAGAAACCAGTGTTAAAGGTTCCAGCCTGAGTCCCAGGTGCAGCCTTGGAGGACACTCTGCACTTGGCAGATTATGAAGTTTGTGCAGCATCTCGTTGCAGTTTATATTTGGGACAGAATTAAAGAATTCCTTCCCCTAAACCCAGAGGAAGAGCAGCCCCACGTTCTCCAGCCCAGGGACCAGTCATACCCAAGAGGCACAGGCATGCCTAGCCACATCCCAGACCACAGCCCAGCAGTCTCAGCTTCTCTTTCTGAGATTTGTATGCTAGTCTGGTGGCCAACAAGGTGACAAATTGGCGGGCCAAAGGCTTGGGTTTTTTCCAATAAGAAAAACTTCCCAAGTGCCTGGCTAGACTTCTGTCCTCACAGGAAGCCCATCTTTTTGAACTTACGGTGTCCCCAGCTTTCAGGTGGATTTTTTCACCCTCTGCCCATTATCAGGCCTTCCTCCCACAGGGCTTCAGACTCCAAGAAACAGGGCTATGGAAACCCCTAAGCTGAGTCTGAGTCACCAGCAGACCAGGCTGAACAGTGGGACTCGGTCCCACAGCTATAGCTGAAGCCCTGCCTGGTGTGGGAAGGGAGCTTTGTGTGGAGACAGGGCAAGGTTCAGGAGTCACGGTAGGAGGAATATGGTTCTTCATCGTCAGTGCAGTTGAAGGGGTGGTAACAGACCAGAAACGCAGTCAGAGGACTTCCCCCATTCTCAGGAGCTGCATCCACACCAGAGCTTTGGCAGCTGGACTTCTCTCAGTGTTTCCCTCCCTGTCATCCCTGGGGGCCACCAGCCGTGAGGCTGCAGACCTTCGATAGCTCCTTGGTTCTCTCTCTGTGGCCAGGAGGGGGAGTTTGTGTTTCCCCTGCACACGTCTTTTTGCCCCATTCCACTCTTTCCGTTAGTTCCCACGTGTGTCTCAGTTCCCACCAGATGCCAGTATGGGTTTTCCAAACTGCCAGATGGAAGATACACAGGATAGACCGCACCTGTCTCTTCCGTGTGCCTGTCTTCAGCTCCAGGCTGCTTTGCAGAGGGGATGTCAGGTCTTGATGCCCCTCCCACTTGAGAAGATGTCAGGCATCTCCCCTGTGCAAGCTGGGCTCCCAGGGGCATGACTCCCTGCTGGCCCCGCATACTGCTGCTGCCTCCTCGCCAAACCTGGCACGTACCTTCTCCATACTTGTAAAGGGTTTTCATGAGGCACTCGGGGCCAGCGGCCCCCCTAACACATGCAGGTCTTCTCTGCTGCCAACTAACACACCCATGCCCTCACAGCTCGGTGAGAGCGTAGTTGTCTGACAGGTGACCAGTTCTAACACTGTCTTGTTTTCTCCCATTTTCAGCTGTAGAGTAGCTGCTGGGAGGACTCGGCCGCCGGCCCTGTCACACTGCAGCCCCCTCCCTTCCTCTCCCATGGGCCCACGCAGAGGAAGGAAGGGCAGCCTAAAAGTCCACTTAGAAACGTTTTTGGATATGCCACTGCAATTCTTTTCAAAATAGCATTCCCCAAGTTTTTGATGGCAGAGGAAATAAAAGCTTTAATGTTGAGAATACCGCCAGCTGCTGCTTGGAAGGGCCTTTGTACAGGCGCTGAAGAACCTGCTTGGACAGCGACCACCAGGCTTGCTTAGGAACCCTCTAGAAACACTCACCACTGGGGTCTCCCTATTACAGATACTCCTTTTTTACCCAGTCAATCTGTGCACTTTTGATATTTTGATATTATATTTGCTTCCTTAATCCCTGGCATAGAGATGGTCTCAGATGCCGTAGTCTGTCTCGTGGTCCTGTAGCTCCCAACACTGTGTTGGTCTGACATCAGCACATGGCACAGGTGTGTCTTCCTAGCGTGTAGCTCTAGACTGTTTAGGTGAAGGCTTCAACCCGGTAAGGAGCCCGGCCTGATGTATCCACACTGTGGTTCAGCGGCCTTTTAGATTATCCGGCATTGTGGTTCACGTTTGAAATTACAGATTTTAAATGCCATGTTCATTAAGAAATCCAGGGTATTCCGATTCTGGGGTTTTTCATATTGTATTATTATTATTCTTAGGAATAGTTCAGTGTAACAAGAAGAAAACTTGACCTTTGCTCTGGTTAAACAGTAAAAGGCACTTGAAAACAAAAAGATAAATTATTGAATGAGTAGTATTACCTACAAATTCCAGAATTTTCTGGGTTTTAGGACATTGTGAAGCATGACTGATTAACAGAATTTTATACAACTGTACCAGTGAAATTCCAAATTGGAATTGTTTTGTTACTCTGGTTGTTGTGCCAAATTGTGGTACACTTAGAAAATCCTACAGTCTTCGATTTTTAGGGTGTTCTATTTCAACGCCTTTTTGTTAGTAATCACTGCCAGTAGTGCCTTCATCAGTTTAGGGAGGTGTCCCAGTGTAGTCTGTTTTCTAAAACAGACAGTAAAGAGCTATTTGGAAATGTTGAAGGCTGGTGTGGACCAGTTGGTGTGAACAGGCACACACCTTTGAACCTAAACCTGGGCATCTTCATTGAGGGAAAGAAAACAGCAATTGTGCAAAATTCTGTTAGTCAGTGATTCTTTACTGTGCAGATCCTTGCAAATTCAGGGGCTGAAAAAGTGAAAGTGAATACAAACCTTGAGCGTGCTTTGGGAACCAAATGGACTTTATGGGACAAGCTAAGCAAGCTATGTGAACAACACGCCACGTTTGTGAAGAGTGGGGTGGGTGGCAGGGGAGCTGGCATCGTCGGCCTCGTGCACTGGGGTGAGGGTTAGCCATAGTATTCTTTGCAAATGTGAGAAAGAGACATTATATATTCTCTTGCTTGGTGTAACTAATCACTGTTAATTTCAGGAAACAGAAGTCACTGAAGCTCCTTAGCAAACCAGATCTTTGTCCTGTCCTGATTTGCTAAGTGAGGTTTTACAAATGGTCAAATTGGTACTCGAGGAGGAGGAATGAGAAAAAGTGTCCTCTCTTCTCCAAAATACAGGACAAATTATAATAATATAAGTAGCAAGGATAAAAGAATTCTGTTTCCTGGAATAAGCATTTTTATTCCTAGTTGTAGGGACCCCTATTTTTACCTTCTCTTACAGTGTTGATTCATAAGAAATAATGTTACATTTACAAAAACTTCATCTGTATGGGGTATTTATTTGCAATGATGTCTGAGTACTGTATTTTTCTGTGCATTACCTTAGTGTCAGAATGTTGTCTTTATTTTAAGATCATATGCATGTTCTCCTGCCAAGGAACTTTTACACAGACCCAAACAAACAAAAATGGCTTTCAGATTATGAGAAAATGAGGCACTGCATGGAAAAGGAATAGGAAGGGGAAATCAGTCACCAGTTGGGACACAGACATATGGCACAAGTGTCTATAAAGCCAGTGCACATAGGAACAGTGGGCCTGGGTAAAGGGTCATTTTGGTAGGACCAATAAATAAAAAATAATAAAAAGACAAAGCACAAGACTTGTTCTCTGTGGCTGCTCTGACCCCCTGCTCCAGATGACTGTGGGTGCAGCAATGCACTGTAATTCCAGCACCTGAAACAAGAAAACTAGGCAGCCAGTAACCCTGGTGGTGGGAACTGGAGGCGCCCGGAGACCTCTCTCAGGAGGCGTGGGAGGGAGGGAAGACGTGGCTTGCCTCCTGTGATGGGCATCAGGTATTGTGAACACCCAGCAGTGTGGTAGTGAAAGCACATTGCCTTTGTACTGTCCTGATCAGGAAGCAAAGAGATTTACATGACAAGGGGGTCTTCTGCTGTCCAAACTCTTGGTCTTTGTACCCCAGGAATGAATGGGTACAGGCAACAGGGGTTACTGGTTTGTAACAAACAAACTTGTTTGATGAACAAAACCATCTTCATCTGCAGGAATGTGTTCAAGGCACACTGAGCCCATCCCAGCGATTGCTTGTGACTGTGAGTGTAGGGTACAAATCATGTCTGAGGACACAGAAAGTCTTAGGACACTTTGCCACCTCTCCTTCTGACAGTCCCAGTCAGACCTAAGTGATTTCACCCAAACTTCAGGGCTTCCCTCTGGGAAGCTGTCTGAAGTCAGAGTCCTGCTGCCCTGGCATCTCCCCATGACCGCACCCTGCACCTGAAGTCTCCCTTGGCCTCATGGTCACTGAGAGGACCCTCCCCTTGACAGTCCCCATCTGTCCTACTTTGCTAGTGTGCACCCATGTTCAGTTTGAAACTTTCTTTCAAAAGAGACTTGTTTTTTTCAGTAGATAGAAGAAATCTTCTTTCCCTCCTGGCCTGTCATCCCAACAGGCCTCTGGAAGAGGTTGGGAAGAAAGCCTGCAACAGATCTGGAGGAGGGGGTATTGACACTGGGCTAAGCAGAGCAAGCCCTTTCACTTGGCCCTTGGGCCAGTCTTGCTTGTTGGGGTGTTTCATATGCACAAGTGCAGATGCTGAGGTCTTCCCTACTCCTCAATGTGCTTCGGGTCCTTGCACATGTGCTTGTTCATTTCACAGGTGGAGTGGCAGCCTCCTGAGTGTGTGGGGTCCCGTGGAGCCTGTGGGAGAGGGCAGTTGGAGCTGAAAGGCTTTCCATTTGGTTGTGTTTTCCAAGAGGGAATGTCCCTGTTGCCACCACCTCCTCCATCT